TGAACAGCAGAACGAGCTGTGGCTATGACGTACACTGACCACCAGGGGGCAGACGCTCAGCACAGGAGCTGCCCTCTGGTGGTCAGTGTGCTCCCCACAGAGGAGAGCGCTGCTCAGCCACAAGCCAGGCTCACGGCTGGTGAGCACAGCGCAGCACTAAGGATGTCCGACTGCTGGCTTAGGGCTCCGAAACTGTAAGAGGGTGCAGGCCAGGCTGAGGGACACCCTCCCCCGAGTGCACGAATTTTGTGCACTGGGCCTCTAGTTTATTATATTTGTCTTTATTTTTTTTTTTTTTTAAATATATTTTATTGATTTTTCACAGAGAAGAAGGGAGAGGGATAGAGAGCCAGAAACATCGATGAGAGAGATTGATCAGCTGCCTCCTGCACGCCCCCCAGTGGGGATGTGCCCACAACCAAGGTACATGCCCTTGACCGGAATCGAACCCGGGACCCTTGAGTCCGCAGGCCGACGCTCTATCCACTGAGCCAAACCGGCTCGGCTATATTTGTCTTTAATATTAGTTCACTAATTAACATGATGTGAGCTTATGTGATTTAATTTTCAATCATGGCTGTATTTAACAGCTATTCAGTGAGATGGGTTAAATGGAATCCCCCCAAATCCACATGCTGACGTCCCAATTCCTGGAAAGGCGCTGTTTTTGGAGCCGGGTGGTTAACGAGGTGGTTACCGTTAAATGAGATCATATGGGCGGGCCCTGACCCAGTCTAACTAGTGCCCTGATAAGAGGAGATTGGGACACAGACACCCAGGCAGGGGCAGCCCCGGAGGGCAGGGGAGCAGCCGAGGAGAGGCTGCGGAGGGACCAGCCTGCCAACACCCTCCTGGACCCCAGCCCCGGATGTGGGAGAGAACCTCTGTTGTTGGAGCCGCCCAGCTGGGGTGGTTTGTCAGGGCAGCCAGTGAGCTAATCCACGCCCCAAACTCCGGAAACCAACCCTCTGCTCTCCAGCGGGCCTTGCTGGCTCCAGCCGCCTTGACCGACCACCTCCTGCTTCCCGTCTTCCTGACCTGACCGTGACCCCTTCAAGAGCAAGGGCAAGCCTCAATGTTAAGTCAGCAAACGCTTTTTTGGAAAGGGCCAGATAGAAAACACTGTAGCCCAGCTGGTGGGGCTTCGTGGTTGAGCGTCGACCTATCGACCAGGAGGTCCTGGTTAGATTCCTGGTCAGGGCACACGCCCGGGTTGCGGGCTCGCTCCCCAGTGTGGCGCATGCAGGAGGCAGCGGATCCATGAGTCTCTCATCACTGATGTCTCTCCCTCTCCCTTCCTCTCTAGAATCAATAAAAATATATCTTTAAAAAAATACAAATACTGCAGCTCCAGGTAGAAATCTGGTCCCTGTTGCGCCATTCCATTCCTGCCACTGCAGCGCCAGAATGGGTGGCGTGGTGAGTGCTGATGGAACTATTGCGGGTGCCAAGGAAGAAACACCAACAGGCCCGAAACGGAGTTGCCCGTGCTAAGCCCCCCCAAGATCAGTGCCTCCCCCCTGCCCCTGAGCCTCCCCCCTGCCCTTGAGCCTCCCCCCCGCCCCTGAGCCTCCCCTGGAGTGGGTCTAGACCGGCCTGGAGCTTCCTGGGGGCACAGGGGAGGCAGCCGCCTGCTAAGACCCCCCGCCCGCCCTGGGGAAGGCGGCCTTGCCCGGAGAGCCCACCCCAGCGGCCTTGTCCCACTCCCGCCTATAGAAGCCTTCCTTCCCCGCAGCTCCTGGGGGCTCCCTTCTCCTGCCCAGATGGGTGCCGCCCGACTCATGAATCATCCAATCAAGCCCATTAGATCCGCAAATGGACTCAGTGGAATTGTTTAAACCGCTGAAATGAGGACTTTATGTAATTTCCACGTGTCACGAAATATAATTATTCTTCTGCTCTGTTTTAAAACATTCTCAGCGCGGAGCCTGTACAAACACAGGCTGTGCCAGACCTGACCCAGGACCAGCTTCCTGACATGGGCCCTCCTTCCGCCGGCCCTACCCCCGCGCCCCCCCCCCCCCCCCTCAGAGGGAGGGCTGAGTAACATTGGATAGTCCTGAGGGAAAGAATGAAGGCTACCAGCCCCTCACGGGCTGGGCGTGGGCTCAAGGGCCCTTCCAGGCAAAATAT